TTACAGTATAATTTGGTTTTTGAGTTTAAAATATCTACCAGAATAACGAGTTAGTCTTATCATTTGACTTTTAACGATAGAGTAGGTTATTTTGTTACATGATTCTACATTACAAATCAGAAGATTTTGCAATGTAGAGCCATTAAATGAACCTTATGCAAAGTACGGGAATAATTTTTTTTTAAAAAATTTAAATGTCAGCGCGTCGAGAGTTGTCTTTGGAATGAAATCCGTTTACGTTATATCGTGTTTTGTATGATATTGACACTAGGCTGTAGATCACACTAGGCTGTTATATTTTAAATTTTTCTAGCTTTTTTCTTCTTAAATTGTTTCTTAGTTATTTTGGCCGAAATATCGGTACGATTCCCGAGAATGCCGATTTGTGAAGGTATCCAACAAAAGTAGATACTATATTCTGTATCCTGTAAACTTAAAACGTAACTTTGATTTCTACGAATTATGGGATTGCACCCAAATGTGAGAAACACCAGATACAAAGCTACGAGAGTCGGTATAAATTATCTACTTGCGTCTACTTGATAAGTTGCGTCTGAAATAAAATTAAGGGCTAGCAAAATAGCACAGCATCAGATTTTACCGCCGAATCCTTCGCTATTGGTGTACATTCAAACAAAATGATTTTATATAGTTATATTAACTATGTAAATAAATAGTTATATAAATAAATTCTATGTTTTGCTCGGAAGTATTAAATTTCTAGAAAAAAAAACAATACCCTAACTGCTATTTACAGCTTTAAATAGCAAAGTTTCAGAAAACATTAAGACTACAACTAACGAGAGAATAAAGACTACAGAAGTATAGAATAATTAAATAAAGAAAGAATGGACTCACCCGAGTGAAAAGCTTTAGGATTTCACTTTATAATCATAAAATGTCCAGCTATAGGTTAGAGCGATTACACACTATTTTTAAGTCAGTAATTGGTAAAAAGAAGGTTCTGAGTCTATTTACTCAGCTGCTGCGTTTGAAGAAGATCATACGTCATCGAAAAGTCAATATCACAACTAAACGGTAGGTGGAAGTGTTGACAGTATCAGCTTAGAACGACCAGCTAATAAATAAAACGCTTTTTTTTGCAAACAAATTTAGATGAGAAAAAAATATCTGATTTTAGTAACATATATATTAAATTCTATGTAAATTAACTTTAGTAGATACCGTCTAATAATACATTTTTGAAATTTTTAAAAATGAGACAAATCATTATCATACAATATATTCGAGATCAGAAAATTTAAAAAAAAAAATTAGTTTCATTGCTTGGAAATAAGTCTTATTTGCAAATACAATATTAATATTGCGTTTTGGGTTTTAATCAATATTGCGTTAAAACATTTTTATTACTGTTTATTAAAAAAATAATTTCTTCTTCTAAATAAGACAATATATTTTATTTTAACGAATCAGATTTAATTTACTTAAACCTTTTCTCTACGATATTTTTACCTAGTCTTGAGTTGAGTTGAATATATAGTTTAATGGCACAAGATCCACAAAACTACAAGCTGCGCCAAACGAACTGTTTTATCCAAGTCTTAAATGCGGTACATTTGAATGTGGCTCATTATGAGAGTTCACATAAATTAGGACATTTAAATGAAAGATCGAGTATAGCCGTATGGGGTTCCCTAACTTAATTCTGTTCAGGGTCTGTTTATAGTGCTGGTTGTTATGCTGCCCTAACTTAAGGGATTCTTAATTGTACAAAAGTTTGCACTGGCTAGGCATTTCTCCATATTTTATTATTGTTTATTATGAAATTGAACCGCGATGGCTCAATGGTTAAGGCATGGAACTGTCATTGTGAAGTTTTTCATTGGGGTTTCCATCCCCAGTGGCGGCTTTAAGCCCATCCACTTTCAGATTGATGGGTACCAGCTTGTCTAGGAAGTAAAAACCACATTACCACAGTCATGCCGTTGGCTATGAAATCGTGAATCTTTAATTTCCGTGAACCCCCTGACCCATAACGGACTGTCGCGAGAATGCTTTACTTTATTCCTACAGTTTTTGTTAAACATAAAATTACAGTTTTTAAGTGTCGTATGTCTGCTTTTCAAACAGTCAGTACTTTCTTTAAAACCCAGGTTTTAGTTAATAGACTGCGCATCGGTCATTCCCGTTATAGCCATAAACATTTATTGAAAGTCGAACCAGCACCCAATTGTTACCCATTAGCAGAGATGCCAACTGTTCCGGACGTGCCATAATAATTTTAAAAACTGTAGACAACTACAAACTTAAATTTGCAAAGATTTGACTAATTTTGGTTGCAACGGTGTTGCATGACTTAAGTGTAACAAAGTGGCGAATAATATAAACCGTCGAATTATTTAGAAATAGTGGTGGATAAAAAACTAATAAATTGAATTTATTAAACCCAGAATCACACATTAATAAACTACTACTCGAAAACATTTGTTTGCTGTCCGGAGCAAGTTGGAATCTCTGTATTAAACATATTTTAACCAACTGTAAACGGTTCAAGCATTTGCGTAACAAACTTTTTGGTTGCTTTTTTCCTAATATTTTATCCGTACTTAGTGACCTTATACATCACAATCTTATCAAGTTTATATTAAAACAATGGGACTATATCCATTACTCTATAAAATAAAAAATAAAACAATGACTCTTAAACCTGGTGTCTGGTGCAGTATAGCCATTTCTGGCTCTCGTGCCGATAAATTCCAACCAACCAACTTTCTTTAAAGAAATATAACAAAATTAGATTGAAATAATTTATTTTATTATTTTAATTACAGAAAACATATGTATCAAAATATGTGTCTCGATTTCACACAATCTCTGAACTGGCATAAGGATCCATAGCAGCTGTTAAAATTTCCTTTGTTTGTTGTCATTTATATTCTAATAAGTTGAGAGCAGCTCCTAATGACCATTCAACGTTAATTCCCCGTATGATGTTTGTAAGCTATAAAAAACAATTTTTTTAAATCGAAAATTGAATTCAATAATCTATTTTAATTGGCTATAATAAAATCAAAGCAATATCAGGGTATATAGACCAAATCTTGCGAGAACAAATTATTTGCAAATACACTGCAAATATTATAATTTTATTTTACCTAGTTAAATTGCAATTATACTTTATTTTTTTTTTGTTAATAACACTCAACGGTAGAGTAGGTTACAATTACAAGGTACCGAAAAGCTTTTTGCAGGCTTAGTGGACTCGTTATGCAGTTTGTAAATCACTAGGTTTCCATACCTGGAATCTTAAGTACGAGCTATATATTTTATGTCATATTTTTTAATGATTCACACATTAAATTCATATCCTACGTTAGTGTTAGCTATCAAATTAATTCACATAATAAGTATTTCTTGTTGTGCTTATTTTAATTTTATTTGATTTTTTCGAACTTTTCTTTTAAGCTTATTAATNACTGAAACAAATATACAAAACATTTAAAAGACATCAAAAAACCCGCCCCCAAAGCACATAAAAACAGTTACAGTTAGTAAAAGTGAAGAAGAATTTTCTTATCTTCCTATATATTTTATGTCATATTTTTTAATGATTCACACATTAAATTCATATCCTACATTAGTGTTAGCTATCAAATTAACTCACATAATAAGTATTTCTTGTTGTGCTTATTTTAATTTTATTTGATTTTTTCGAACTTTTCTTTTAAGCTTATTAATCAATATCACTCATCATCATGAAATACTATAAACAATGTATACTTGAAATAATAATTTCACAAACAATTTAGTAACGCGTGGACAGTAAAAATATCTTAACAGCAAAAAAAACTTTTAGTCAATAAAAAAAAAGAAAACAAATGTGTTAAAACTTTTTTGAATGGGCATTTCCATATTCAAAAACAAGGACCATTTAACACTGAATATAAATTGAGCTTAAAATATAGGAAAAGTACAATTCAAAAATCATTCTAAGAAAAAATTTATTTACCAACTTATATTTAAATTTTCAATCAGAAACACCACATCCTAAAATATTAATTTATTTTATAACATTATTATCACAAAACTAACTAATATTCAATGCTCGTGTCATAATCATTATTTATTTTATTTTCTAATTCACTTCTTAAAGACCTTTTTTCTCTTTGAAAAGTTTACTTGCATAAAATAATTTTAACACATCACTTTCATCGTCTCTAATGTGTATTAAATATTTGCTCCCTCTAATTTTTTTGCGATTCTAAAAGATACTTTAGGTGAAATAAGTGAATATTATTATTAGTTTCAAATATACAAGATCATTTTATTCAAAATTAGTAATAGGTCTACTTTTACAGTACTTTTCATGTCGGTCAAAATATTTGTACTCCAAATGTTGTTCTCTAATTATCTTTTTAGTTTCTGTTTTGTGTTCTTTTAATTTTCTTAGATAATTAGATGAGTTTTCCTTGGTCTTAGCAGTTAAAATTGTGTTTAAAAGTAATAGTAGCATTTTTACCAGGAAATGATTCGGCAGGTGTATAACTTGTTACAACATGGGCAGATGAATTGTAAATGCAATTTAAAGAAAAGTAATCTTTGCCCATTCTCAAATGTTATTACATATGGAAGCAATAGATTTCTTAAGAAGAACTCTATGTGATCTTTCTAAGAGTCCATCATACATATCATAGTAAAATTAAGTTTTGCGATGCTTTAAGGATTTTGAATAATTCTCAAATTCATCAGAAGTAATTTAACTTGATCAAGTTGAAGTTTATCAAACTGAAATTACCGTTATCAGTTATTATTACCCAAAGCAAGCAGAGTGTAGAAAAAAAACATTTGTTTAGATTATTTATAATAGTTGATAATTAGCCTTAGGTTTATTAGCAAGGCAAGCATCACAAGTTTCAATAAAATTTTGGTTTATCAGATAGCAATCTTCAACAAATTATAAGCTTTATATGTACCAAAATTTAAGGCATGGGAAGATTTTAGTTATTATTTAACACAAATATATTTATATTATTAACTACAGCATTTCTAAGAGGTACACTAGATAAATAATCAGCTGGATTTTTTACACCTTGAATATGCTGCATTTGATAGTTAAATTCCTGCAGAATATACGAATTTACAACTGCAGAATATGCTAATTCCAACGTAGAACTTCAGATACAAAGTATGTTTTAGATTTAACATGTACATATCTTACTTGGATTTCCTTTTCTCTACGAAGGCCTAAGCCATGTTGCCAAAATGCTGAAATATAACTGCAATCGAGGCAAGTAAATGTTGTTGCAGGCATCAAATTGTTACAAAAAAATTTGCAAGTATCCACAAACTCCCCGACTGTACAGTTTCCACCTTGAAAATCTGAAACGGAATATTTTTTTAACTATGCTAATTATGAAAAAATCCTAGCTTTTGCACTTTATAATTCACCGAAAAATTGCAGAATTTACTTAACTCAAAAATGAAAAAATCTTATCGTTTGCACTTTATAATTCACCAAAAAATTGCAGAATTTACTTAACTCAAAAATGAAAAAATCTTAGCTTTTGCACTTTATAGTTCACCAAAAAATTGCAGAATTTACTTAACTCAAAAATTGCGGAAAAAATTGTTTTTTTTTTTTTCAGTAGAACTTTTTTTGTTACTTGCGCTAAAAAACTAAGAGCTAACTTCATTTACGAAAGAATAGCAGAATCTGCACATTGTAATTTATTAAAGAATAGTAGAATTTGTGCATTATGAATCTTGTGAAGTTATTACAGCATATGTTAACTACTTTATCTTATATGCATCGCGATTAAAATTATATTATTCTGTTTGAAAAAAGTCTGTATTTTACGAATTACAGAACGAGAAAGAAACACATTGTTATTTTATGTAAACAAAAATAATTTAATAATTTTCAGTGTTAAGCGTCACGTACAGATAATGACCGGTCACATAATCTTGTGCAAAAACCTCTGGACATTCTCACTAACCGTAAGCTTGACTGAAGGCATTGAATCAGTTAAAGAGTATTGTTAAATGCTATTTCTAAATGATACGATTCTGGTATTCTAAACAATAAAGTTAGCACACGAAAATATACACGACTACAGAAATTGTTTTTGCTAAGTACCAAGTAAGTTTGCTAAGTAAGAAACAATATAGCAATTTTCAAGCTGCAGATCGGGTATCATTGTTTGGCAGAGCATTTATTAGGAACATGTATATGCTCCACCATTGTGTACCCGAAATGCAAAACAGGTACCATGAATTTGAATCCCCTCTTACTTTGTAATGGACTCGGCAGAAAGTCGCAAATTTGATATTTGCAAATCGCTCAAGTCTGAGCCCAAGTCTGCGGGTTCGATCCCCGGCCCAGACACCGGATTTTCGGGATGCAGAAAATCCTACGCGGCCATGTCGTATGATTATGCGGCATGTAAAAGATCCCTGGAGTGCCTTATTGGCTCTTGGCATTTCCGGCAAAATTAAATTCCTAGTGCACTTTAGCATTAGTGCTGCCATCTAGTGTGGCAGAAATTAGACGTCCAAATTAACATGACCAACGGTATCTCACCCATTGTGGTGGTCCTGAAAGAGTGGATATCACCTTTGGAGAACGCACTAGGTCTGCTCATCAAGACCGATTGTGCATTGGAAATAAATAAAACCATTGGAAATAAATAAAAAAAATATTTGCAAATCGTAAGTGGGGGACGCAGGGAATATTATGATCTCAAAATGACTGAATTTTATTTCGAATTTAATTTTTGTTTTTTAAGTAACTTTCTTTTTTGCTTTTATTGTACATTTTATTCAATTTTGTTTCCTGATGCGATTGATTGTGATTGATTTACTGATAAAGTCATGTACTTAAAAATAACTTAACGTACCAATAAGACCTAATTCAAAACCTCGATCTATGTGGCTTGACAGGGCATATATTTCTCGTTTTCCGAGATTGCGAGGTTTGTGAATAATGTTATCCAGATATGCTACAGCCTTTAGATAGCAATTTTCAAAGCCATACTTTTCATAACTTTGATTTCTGAGGAAAAAAAATCATTTATTTAGAAACTAAAAACAATATAAAGTTAATTGAAATAATGTAAATGTAAAACAATGTAATGTAAAACAAACTGAATTAAAGTAATTGAAATATTGTAGTAAATGTGGTTTTCTTATCAATTGTGTGTAAAGAGATCAGCATTTGTTCACAATTTGTAATGGGGTATTTAGATAATTTATAAATTTTACGTTTAATTATAGGCAAAGACGCGAAATACCTTAAAAATTCTAAAAATGATTGATGTAAATAAAATGTTTGAAAACGTACTTAAAGTAAAAACTCATGTTTAAGAACTAAAAAAAAAATGTGTTCATAATTTATACTCTCTACTGAAAACAATTACGGTTTTTTAAATTTTCAGATACATTATATTTCTGCAATGAATGCTATTCATGGTAGAAATTCCACACATGAGTTACAGTGTGTTGTTTGAAAGTTTATAATTAATGCTAATATTGTTTGAATGTTGAGCGGATTTTATAATAATTCAATTAAAGAATTGCGCTTTATACAAGACTTGTAAGCAACTGAAATATTTCTTACATGAAACTTGATGATTTGGATAATTGTAATATTTTTGCGAAATTTTTTTTTTTGCATCAAGATTTAAAAAAGGATAAGCTTTTTCTAGTTGCAATTTTGACATTACTTTTGTGAATGCTAGTATTTCAAATTTGGAATGGAGAGGAGTGTTTAGCAGAGAAGAGTAGAGAGGTATGTAGAGTGGAGTGGAGTGGTGTGGAGAGTGGTGTGGTGCTCTCAACTCCACACTCCACTCAACTGCACTTTCCACACAACTGCACTCTTCATCATATACTGCACTCAGTGGAGAACGGAGTGAAGAGTGGTATGGAGTGGCGTGTCGATAGTATAGGTATGAAGATTGGTTGGAAAGTGCTTTGGAGAATGGGGTGAAGTTGTGTAGAGTAGAATTGTGTGGAGGTGGAATTGTGTGGAGTAGAAATGTGTGGAGGTGGAATTGTGTGGAGTAGAATTGTGTGGAGGTGGAATTGTGTGGAGTAGAAATGTGTGGAATGGAGAGTACAGTGGATTGTAGTGGAGAGAGGAGTTGGAAGGAGAGAGAAGTTGGAAGGAGAGAGGAGTCGGAAGGAGAGAGGAGTCGGAAGGAAAGAGGAGTCGGAAGGAGAGAGGAGTCGGAAGGAGAGAGGAGTCGGAAGGAGAAAGGAGTCGGAAGGAGAGAGGAGTTGGAAGGAGGAGTCGGAAGGAGAGTGGTGTTGATAGTGAAGTAATATTGAGATTGGAGTAGGGTGTTGAGAAGAGAAGAGTGTAAGGGTGGAGTGAGTGGAGAGGAGAGGGGCGTGGAGTGGATATTGGAGCGAAGTGGAGCGTGGAGAGGAGTGGGGTGGAGAGAGGAGTTGGGTGGAGAGCTGAGTGGGATTGAGAAAGGAGTACAGTGGGGTGCGGAGAGGAGTAGGGTGGACAGAGGAGTGGTACTGAGAGAGGAGTACGGTGGAGTGTGTGGAATGGAGTTTAGATGAATGAGTGTGGAGTGGAGAATGTAGTGTGAGTGGTATGGAGTGGGGAGTGGATAGCAGTTGTGTGGAGAGTGGTTTGGAGAATGAAGAGGAGTGTTGAGTGGAATGAAATAGTGTGGAGTTGGGGAGTGAAATTGTGTGGAGTTGAATGAAATGTCGTCTGGAGTGGAATGGGTAGTGGAGATATGAATGTGGAGTGGAATGAAATAAAAAGGATAGTAAAGTAGAGTGGAAAGGAATGTGGAGTAGAGGGGAGTAAAGTGGTTTGTAGATGAATTGATATCTTGTTATTGAGTTTTTGCTCATAACATTTTCAACGTTTTTAACTTAGTGATATGTAGGTAGTATTAATATTCACAGTGGCAATTATTTACGTTAAGAAGCTTAGGTGGCATAAAGTTTAGAACATATTAAAAAAATGTTTACTTAACGAGTTTTCTCTTAAAATCGTATTCCCAAAACTCTTCTGTATCCGGATGTATGCAAGGACTTCCAAATGTCACGATGCCATTGTATTCTATGGCATCTGCAAAAATTTGTTAGAACAGAATGTATGATAATGCAGAGTTTGATTATGATAAACAAATGATTTAAAAAGAATTTAAGGCGAAGTCATACTTATAAACAGAATTGGATCTGTTGTTATTTGGGCAAGAGAGAGTCTCGCATTCTGTAGGCCATTTCCTAAATAACTGCGTAGAAATTAGATTTACTTACATGCACACATAAAAAGATACAGATATTATTTATAAATTTAAATTTGCTTGTACACGTTGTTTGTTTTGCGGCTTATAAAACTATACAAAGTTGTTTTTGAAACATTTATTCAGTGTTTATTATTATTTTTTTAAATTTCAAAATTGTTGTAGCTAATTTAATTTTTTTCAGAAATTCTGTCAGAAGCATTTTTCTTGATTAGCCAAAAACGAAAACAAAGTCCGAGATTGCATTTACAGTCCTTAAAAATCAGTAAAACTGCGTCGTGCTATTAAACAACATTCAGAACGGATCTGTAAAGTATGGTATTGTTTTCTCCCACTTTATAATTTCATATCTTTCTTTTTATCAATTTTTTTTTGTAGGTTTCAGTGTTCCAGTTATAAGGTACTATTAAACGCATAGTTGGTTTCTAAATCTGGACTAAGCTCAAAATGCGTGTTAATGAAAACGAACATGGCTATTTACGAAAATAGACAGAATTTATTTCCTTTTTCAAAACTTCCATCAACCATTTTTGCATTTTTTAAAGGAATAAATTAATGAATCTGAATAAATTTGTAATATGATATAGTCCATGTGCATAAATCACTTGATTACATTTTATTAAATTAGTCTTTCTTTGAAAAGACTTTTATGTCAACAGTTTGTTTTACAAGGTTGACACGTCGTGTGCTATAAATTTATAATATTTGTTGTCGTAGGTCATTAAGGCGAGGGGTGTAATTGCTCATGTTTTCGTCTAGTGGAGCCATCTATGGTCAAGCATTTGACTTCTGACACACCCATACGTCACTCCTGTTTATATGGTGGACCGATTCCTAGATCCATTCATTCATCCATATATCGTAATTTTGACCTGAACCAGAGAACGATCAATTTCCAACGCAGTACCCCCACAGGTGTTATTAGTTATATAAACATGGAGGACTTTGTGACCCGACAGATTTAATGTGCACCAGTCACTATTTACTACACGGGGAGTCTTCAGCCGACTGGATTTGAACTCCCATTCTCACGAACGTGAGTCCAGCACCCTACCAGCCGGCTATCCCGGCCGTCAATATTCTTCGTAAATTTACGTAATAGAAATATAAAGTTTAAAGACTTAACTTTATCGTTTAGATTTCTGAATAGGAAGACATTACTTGAAAAGTTGCATCTGTAATATAGTCCTTAACAATGATTATGCTCAGTGTTTAAATAAGTAAGGAATAGTAAGCCCGTAATTCCCCGTTTAGTCATGATATTTGGGTTTAAAAATATCCATTACTGTACTACACTTATTTTATTAATTGCTTATAAACTTCATGGCTACATTTACTATTGTCTCGAGAACAACGATTTTCATACATCAACCTAGCTTTCAAAGTTTTGACTTACAACTAATTGTAGATGAAATATTGCCATAACTGGCCCTTGCACCGATAAATCCAAACTATCTTTTCTTTAAAATTACCATTCAAGGGCTTCACTTCCTTTCAAATCAATAATAAATTCAAAATTTGGTGGATCATCTTAACTTGAGGAAATTAAATTTCACTCTATGATTTAAGCTTACAAATTTTCCTGTTTTTCAAGCCTATACTGGCCTCGTGTGAATGGTAATGACTGCAGGTTTATTTATAAATATAGGTTCAATCAAAAAACGTTCAGGGTTAATTTCATTATTATAATGGATTTAAAATGATGTAAAAATATTTTTACTTACCTTTTTGTATATAAAACCCTACTCCTCTCTTGTAATTTTTGCAAGTCATCGATTCTTAACGTTTGAATATCATAACTGTCCTCAGCGAATGCAATTTGTATTGATTGTCCACCTAAATCTATCAATGCTGCCGTGTCAGCTGCATCCTTTAATTGATCTGCAAAAATTTTCACAAATATGGAAAAAACTTAACTAATCATTTTTGTTTTGTTACAATATTACATTCAACCAATAAATTAATTTATATGCATTGTATGAATGGTATTGTTACAAAACAATTATTTACAACCAATAATTTAATGTAACTAATCAATTTACTACTCAATATACTGACAGTTATTGTTACATAGAATTTAAATTTTTATTTTGATCATAAAAAAAGAGCATCAAGGCATGAAAAAATATTTCGAGAGCAATAATTTTTAACTGTTATGTCTGTATAAAAAAAGCTTTGCGCGAACATCAATAGTTCTTTAAATTAATTTTTTTAGATATTTTTACTGCAAAGTGAAATTGTATGACTTTTTATCGGATAATTGTAATTTAATTAAAAAGTAAATAGAAAGGATACTTTACCAAGTAAGAAATTCAAACCATACCATGCATAAAGACCTGAAAAAAAATGTACTGTGATTTAAAATTCAGATAATATAATAATTATATATACAATAATTATATAATAATTATCCAATAATTATATATACAATAATTATATAATAATTATCCAATAATTATATTACAATTTATAATCCAATTCAGATACTTGTAATAATTACGCGTTAATTTTTGGTGTTAAATATATGAATCGCTTTTGTTATTTGCTGTTAAATATTTGCATAACGAATTATTGATAATTGGAATTTTAAATGTTTGTAATTTTAGACATTTATTAATAAACAGTAAAATTTAAAAGCGTCGGTTCATTCAGTTTTATGCTAGTAAAATTAAATATACTAGTAGAATTATAAGTTTTCACTAAGACAATAAAATGGTATTATTGGTTATGTTACATGTTACAAAGAAGTCACATTTCACCGAGGTGACAAGTAAGCAATGAAGCGCTTAAAGGTTTGATTTATTTAGGTAAACAGGAGTCCCACTAATCCAAAATGCCACCATTTGCTTTTAAATTTTTTTATTTATAAAATACAGTATACTGATGTGTACTTATATTTTATACAATGCAGTATACTCTCGATATCTCAAAGTTGAAGGGACGCTAAAAAAGTTTCGAGATAGTGAGTTTTCGAGATAACAAGTTCAGAACTAAATATTTTCTAAAAAGTAGAGAAATATATTCTAAAATATTACTCTAAAAAGTAGAGTCATGAAACTTAAGAATAACTACTAATACTTCTGTATACAATGATGACTATAAGTCAATTATCATTGCATACAGAATATTCATTATTGACAATCATTATTCATTAATTATAGACATAAGTCTTATAATTAATGATAATTTATGATAATAAGTCGATATTAATGATAATTGACTATAAGTCTAAATACAGCAATGATAAATATAGCAAAGTAAGAAAAAAATTATACATTAAATATAAAGGAATTGATTTAAAATAAACTTACACTGTAATTTTCCGAAACAGTTTCATTTTCTATAAAGAAAAATATTCGACATAATAGGGTTTTGAGAAGAAACCCTCCGACATACGAATTCAAATTAATATTATGTGGTAATGTAATGTCAAGGGGAAAATATTTTTTTGACATAACAAGGCTTTCGAGATATAGAAGTTTGAGATAACGAGAGTATAATGTATTTAAAGTTTCTTTATATTATTTTCAATTTTTTCAATTGTAAATAAAAAAAATATGTTAGCTTTCAGGATTAATTCTTTTTTTTTGCAAATTAAATGAGGGTATGTTTAAAGCGACTCTTATTATTATTTTTTTGGTAAACTAATAAATTGCTTAAAGTAAAAAAAATAAATTAAGTTGATACCTTCCTGTGCTCCTGTAAGTAGATATGCATCATTATTATTAAAAAGGAATGGAGATTTTTCAAACACTTCACGTACCTAGAATAATAAAAATTTCGTTGGAAATAAATCCACGTGAGCATACAAATTATCAACACTAATATGATCAGTATATTTTAAACGTCAGGCAAAAATATGACAATCGTTTTCTTTAATTTGCAGTTACCACTTTTCCTGCAGTATCATATAATTAATTTTGTAATGATTTTGTCATGATTAAGATGATGATTACTTAACTGATGATAAGTTAACTTTTATAATTAATAACTTGGATAATGATCCGTCAGAATTTGATACATTATTTTTACTTTTATCTTAAGCAATTCCTTATGGTCCTTAGAGCTTCGATTCAAAGGAAATATTTTTAATCAAGGATTTTTAAAATACGTAATGAAGATATGAGTAGATCTATTAGCTATGAAAGTTTTTAATGAAGAATTAAAAAAAAAGTGTTTTTATGAGTTTAAGATAATTGTTAAATTATGCTAAATAAATGATAGCATGGTTTTATTTTGATTTATATCTATCGTCAAGTTTGGTATTTTGAGTTGCTTCAATGTCTAACTTTTGTTCTAATAGTAAATAACGATACTTTCAAGATTTGTTTCAATTTTGGTAAAGTAGCACACATTATCAAATTTAGTACAAATTGAAACAGTTTAATTACACTAAAAATATTTTTTTTCCAAATGAGAGCGACTTTGAAAAGCATATTTTATCAAAATATGAGACTTACCGTTTCCAAGACAATATTTGCATCATCGTCAGATATAGTTCTCAGACCAGCCGTTGCAATTAAGGCTAAGCGAGTGTCACTCCACTGATCAGCCGGAATGTACTTTTGGGCAACTCCCAGTAAGCCAGATAAAATAAGAGTTATCTGTGATGTAAAAATAAGTTTTTTTTTTAGAAAGCAATAAGCTTATTAACAGATAAATTTGAGAATAAATTCAATGAATTTCGAACTAATGGTATAGTTAGTTTATAGATTTCTACTACTTTCTTAGGGATGGTTTTAAAAAGGTTTTATGAAATACGTCATAAAAATTATTGGTAATTGACTTATGTTACTTCTAAATATTCTTCTATCAAATTTCATCAATGGCAATGTGTACCAAATATACGGTTAATAATGTGACCTCTTTGGTCTTTGGTCTAATTGATCTTTGCAGTTTTATTGCAGTAAGCTTAGTTGGAGCATTGCAGAGAGTTGAATTTTTCAATCGGCCTACGACATATATGTTATAGAATGATTCCATGGCAGAGGGGGTTTATAGAAATTATATTTTTACGTAGGTTTTATGAATATAAATAAAACTACTTCACATTTTGTACAAAAAAAATTTCAATCTTTGATACATATCAATAAAATGTTATTTTGGCATATATATTAAGTAATTTCATGCTCCATGTACATTTGCAGTACAAAACAGTGAAATCATAATATACTGTAAAAACTACGGTAAAATCTACTTTTGTTGGAACAAGTTACCGAAAAAAAAACTTATTTACCGTAATTTTTACGGTAATAATTTCCCTAAAATCACCAAATAATACTAATTAAATAAATACTGCTGTAAAAATTACGGTATAATATTTAATGGTAAAAATAGGTTTTACGGTAAAAGGGATTTTGCGGATGATGCAGCCGAAGTATCAGTACTTTATACCATGGTTCGATCTGGAATTTTTTACAGTTTACTATTTTTTAGAACCTATTGAACCAAACAGTTCTTATTGCCTTTTTCGCATCATGTGTTATTTTCAGGGGGGGGGGGGGNGGGGGGGGTGAACATGAAATTTGCAAAATGTTACTTATCAGTAATTATTTTGAACGAGTTTTGCATCTTTAGAAAAAATTTCGAAAAATATTTTGATAGTTACAGCCGGTTATCATGTTCAATTTCCATGAAGCTCAGCTATGAGAGTAATGTGTGAAAAGAAATTTAAGTTTTTTCAACAATTTAAATTCTTAGCAATTTTTAATGATTCGAATACCAATGCTTGTTGAAAACTCACCTCATTGGGTTCTTCCGTGTAAGCAGAAAGTCCTGGCTGGGATCTTATTTTGTATTCTGCTTCTAGGGACAGTGGACCACCTATTAAAATATAAATGCATTTAAAACTAACTTTATGCGATGAGTAGTTTTAAAAATTAATGCTCCTAGTGTGAGTGCTGTCCGAAACTGGCCATTGCTCTTCTAGTTTTTGTATAATTAATTTAAAATTATTAAGGGTTTGTAATTATAAAATCTGTTGTGACATAAATAAAACATCTTAATGTTCCTCTAATATTAGTATTGTAAAGAATTTTATGAATTTATACGACTGCTTTTTTCATATTATCATTTCATAAACTTGTCGTTTTTAGCATCGATTCCCCATTGCTTTTGACTCCCCGTTCCTCAACAAGTGTCTATTTTTCCTTTTTTGTGTTTTGTTTTAATGTCAAACTGTGTTACGTGCAGCCGCTTCTATTTTAAGTGTACATAAACTGCACACTCATGAAATCAATTATAATTTAAAGTTTTAACAAAGTACATGTTATAGTAGTTAGATGTCCTCGTAATATATTTCCATTTTTTGCCCATTTTCGACCCATTTTTTGGGTTTACGACTACTGTTGTTTAACTCCGTAGCCTTGTAATTTTGAACCCAATCCAAAAGACAAGGGAACTCTTTGATCAGGTATTGGGAGAAATTTTGCCTTTGTGGAGGACTTTTTGATGGAACTAATCTGCATTTCCGTTACACGGAGAGGAAGACCTCGAGAGCTTCTCACGGTTAGCCTGCCTGCAAAGTGACTCTGACCCATGATCCGTCTAGTACTGAGGATATTTCACGTCAGCACTGTGGTCGTGGAAGCCGGATGCGGATTCGTATCTACCAGCCTTCACTGGGATTCGTACCCGATTCACCTCATTGGAGGGTAAATACTCTATCCCTTGAACCATCGTGTCTCTTGCACGTAATATCGTATTTTTTCTAAACTTTAGTTTGCGTTTGAGTATCGTCTTTTAGTGCAGAAGATCTGGCTCCCACACCATGAAACCAAAATTAGCCAACAGAATACGACTCTAATACGATTTATGAATGGTGTCTACATAATTTATAATTTTGTGTAAAAAAATAGGATTTACTATCGTGCAAAAAAGAAAATAGCTCTTTAACCATGGGAATATATTTTAAAAATGATAAATAAATTTTGCTTTTTTCATCACCTTAGGAAATTAACCTCGGTAAAATTTTCTTTGACGTTCGTTAAAAGTGCATATGACGTAACAGATTAAAAAATTGAATAACCTTTAATTTCTTACTTGTGTTTGAATGGAATAAATAGATGTGCATCCGGGTACCACTGCTGCCTGCATCCATCATAATAACATACTTTTCATCTGTTTCCACCTCTTCGGACGTGAAAACACTTCTTAGTGACGAGAACAGCTCCATTTCAAGTTCCAACGAAACTAGCACAACTGACACAATGAGGATATAAAATAACCACATCAATTTATGCTGATCACTCATTTTTCTGGGCCATTGAGGAGATATATTTTGCTGTCGAATATTAAAGACAAAGAAGCAGTTAGTAAATTATCAAATATTTTGGAAGGTTCTAAAATTAGTTACATTTTTGAAAACCGTTGTCACATGTTAATTAACTTTCAAGAGATTATTCATTTGTCAAATAATATGTTTTTAAAAGTTCGTGTACATAAAGGATATCATTGTTTTTTAATTGAAGTCTTACCTACGTTCAATTGGTTAAAAGAATAAGTATTACAACCAAACATAATTTGTAATAGTATGTATTACAACATCATTCAAACTTAATAATTAATAACATTAAAGACATTAGGTAATGTAATTCAATTTGGATCTAATTTTGACTTCATTGATTTGATTCTGACCAGTTTTAATCTAGTTATTTTGGTTTCAGCTAAGTTGTTTTATTTTAAATCTAGTTTGGATTTTAATCAAGCTGCTTAGTTACTAATTAGTTGCATAAACTTTAGCCTAGTTTAGGTAAGGTATAAGCAAATTGCTAAGCATCAAGAATTTGCATCATTCACTTAAACAGTAAAAGGTGCTTCAATACAACTTAAAATAATTTATAATAATCCAACTTATTTTTGATTTATTTAAAAAGGAAGTAAAAAAATACCTTTGTTAAGATGGATTATTAAAAAATTTAATTTTTTTAAGGAAACACCTAAAAGAATTAATTTATTTAAGAGAAGGATGAAAAATTCAATTACTAAAAAAAGTTTGAATAAGTGTCATAAGAAAAAATCGTCTGTTAGAAGAAACACACTGTATAAGGAATTATTGAAACACATTTCCTTTTCGAGATAACATAGTATTTGTAAGTAATATTAAATACTCTTTAAAAATAAAATTCAAACTTTCAATGCATATTTTACATTTCATAAGGTTTGAAAACTGTCCGATTTTGACAGTTTATCGTGTACATAATGATTAACCTGTGTATTATTTATAAGTAATTAAAATGGAAAAAGATATACTAAGTACTATATAAAAAACATTTTTAAATATAAATATAAGACATTTAATGAGATAGCATATTTTCTTTACAAAAGCTAATGCTTTTTTCATAAAAAGGAATCTACTACCACTTTTCGGGAAGCTCGTAGCGACAGTTTTAACTTAGTAGAAGTTTCTACTATCTCAAACAAAAATGCAAACACTAATTGTACGAAAGTTAAAACGCTTTTCTCTTGCAAAAGTTCATGCTATTTGCTCATATTACCTCTTGTCACAATAGTGGTATTTATTTACACAGTTAATTAAGCATCACTAGTGTCAATAATTGTTCAAGCATTTCTAAGACCGCCGAAACGGATAAGTGACAAAAATATTTTTAAAAAAAAAATAATTTATCCAACAATATTTAAAGAAGCAATATTTAACGAAACAACATTTAACAATAGTTAAAAAAGCAGTGAAAGAAGGTAAACATATAAATTTAGAATTCCGCTAATATTTAACTGGTTGGTAAATGTCTTCAGTTGCATGACGTTAGTTAGTGACGTAAAAGTGGCGTTGGAAGTGGTTGGGGTAGAATTAAATTGTTATTAAATTCAAAAAGTTGTAAAATTAAATGGTAATTTTTATCGATACAAGTACTACATTTGAATACTAAAATCTTTCACACCAAGATAGTGATACAAAGACGACTTAGGGAAGCGATAGTTTTAATATGTCGCTTCAGTACAGCGTAGCATTCCTATATTTGCACTTATGTTCTCATATGAAAATTTTTAAGCTAAAAAAAATTATTTTCTCTCTTTTGCCTCATTTTTGAAATGATTTTAGTCAAATGAAATTGTTTCTTTTTTATTAAGAAAACTGGACGCCCTACTTTCTGTGCCCTGAAGTGTGCAATATTTAGAATTTAGAAATAGATATTTATACTCACCGTGGATGTAATGCTCAAGAAATTGCTACCATCTACAACAGATTACGTAAAGGTCTATTTTGAAGTACTTTGCACAGCTGATGTAAAGATAGATATTAAACAATCACCTTTCATGGACTTTCACAAATGTTACGAAGCTACCTTAATTTAAAGAGTTTTTCGTTTTATTTTATAGCTGTAATAATTTTATCGTTTGTGACCGTTGCATAGATATTAACTTTTGCTCCGCCAATTCCTCAATAAATAAATAAATAAATACAGTATACAAATTCAGAACTAAACTTGTTCTAAAAAGTAAAAAAATATATTCTAAAATATTACTCTAAAAAGTAGAGTCACGAAACATAAGAATAACTTTTATTAAACATGTATGTAATCATGATAGTTGACAATAAATCTAAATACAACAATGATAACTTTATTTTTAAGAGTGAGTCAAGAACAATTATGCATAAAATAGAAAATAATTGGTTTACAATGAACTTACATGGTGATTTTTCCGAAGGTATACAATTTCTATTTCGAAAAACATTCGACATATTAAGGTTATGTGACGAAACCGTTTAACATAGGATAGGAATTCAAATTAACAGTAGGTGGATACGTAATGACAAGGGGAAAATATTTTTTTTGACGTAACGAGGTTTCCGAGATAGCAAAGTTTGAGATATTGAGAGTATACTGTAAATAAAACTACACATAAAAATGAAAATTGCGCATTTTTCGTATTAAGGGAAAAACTGTATTTGAAGATCTTAGTGTTTTATTTATTTCATTATTTTTTAAAAATCGTATGCATTAATTTTCTCTAAGCAAAGTATTTTGATTTGCCAGAAAAACTCCATCGTCCGTTTTAATTATCATCACTGCCTGTTGTTTTGGGTTACAACCTTAACAGTACTTTTCGAAGATCTTTTGATAAGGAAAATACAAAAAGCCACATTTACAATTAAGTCAAAGCTATAATTTTTAACTATCTCGCCGCAGAGAAATATCTGGGCTTCATAGAACTGACAAATTTAAATACTTTAAGAGTTATTAATTTTCTTTAAAAATCACAAATTAGGCTAGAGTTTTCGACAGAGATGAAAATTTCTGGATAATTTTCAGTTTTTTCAAGTTTTATGAGGGCAGATAATGCAGCCTTAGAATAAATTTTTAAATTTAAAAAAAAAGAAGATTAGAAACGCTTTTTATCTTTACGAAACTACTACTTTGATTTTTGAACCATTTTTAGAATTAAAATTGAGGGCGCTGGTTAAAGTTAGGCATAACTTGGCTTAGCAGTCATGAATAATTGTTGCAACCTTAGAGAAAATATTAAAGTAGCATATTATTTCATGGAGTGACAGAATCTTTGAAGAACAGACCTGTACCACATTTTGACCCAGTGTCCTCATTTAATATTTCGTAATTTTCGTCGTAATTTTCTTCATTTATTTACATCATGAAATTTCACACCGGAATCTTACTGACAGCCATAAGACATTTCAGTATTTTTTAAAAATTTAAATTTGACTTATAATACCAATTTAAAGAAAGCTAAAATAAAAACAATTGAAGATGAAATTAAAAAAACGAAGATGGAGCTGGCTCGGACATACCTCAGAATGCCCAAAGAAAAAATTACATTTGTTGCGCTTACATGGGCCCCTGATGGTAAAAGAACAAGAGGAAGACCCAGACTTACCATCCAGCGCATGTTTTTGGGCGAATTAAAAGAATGTAGAATATCTGGCTGGGAGGAAGCAAGATCTATTGCTAGAGACAGGAGGCGTTGCAGGGCTAAGCTAGAGGCTTTAAGTGCCCAAGGCACGTAGAGGATAAGTAAGTAAGTATAATACCAATTTAGTGCGAAGCACGTTTTGGTCATGTTTAGCTCTTGCACCAAAATCGCACCAACTAACTATACACTACTGAACACTCTAGGAAAATTTATCAATTTATGTACTTGCTCGATATTGTTTGTTCTGTGGAAAAGGAATTAAGTAATGCTTTGCACTAACATGGGAGTCATTGTTAAGGAATTCTCGTCAGTCATGCTTTCTTTTAAAACTGACCAATTACTGCAAATTTTTAATGTGGTTTACCCAGGTATGTTATTTTAAGGCTAACTTGGATTTCAGGACCACTTTAGACCGCAGAGCTGTAGTTGCGTAGTTATATTTCGTTATCTAAATTTTAACTTTGTCTTAAGGCATGGTATAATCAAATTATGGCTCTCGCGTCAAAACTTACATCGCTCACTCTTTTTACTTTGTTATTTTCTTTTCTCTAACAGCTGGACTCAGTTTACATCACCGTTCAATTTCATTTTGAAAACAATTTAGAAGCTCATGTCAAGTTGACTGATAGGGCAATTTCACCGTGTTGTGTCGCACTTGACAGAGGAAAATAGTTAATTATTTTGTCAGAACGAGAGAGTTACTGTGCTGCTTGCCGGGGACTACATTTTTGACAAGTATCATCAGATAAAAAATTGCCATACCCGCGTAATGTAATCTCTTAAATTTTTATTTAACTATTTACTGAAGTTTTATTTTACTTGAAGCATGTTATATGATGTTAAAGGGAAAATTGTTCTACGATGATTTATAATTCAAGTTAATTTTTAGGACTTTGAGGTGGTATGTGTAATAAGATAATAAATCTAAATCTAAAAAACTTTGAAATGCTCAAAAATTGAGTTACACGTAAAAATAATTTTGCATAATATTTAATTCAGATTATGGTAATTTAGCTCGATATTTAATCTCTGAAATACGAATCTCACTTTTGTCGATTCAGAAGTCCTTGCTTGTCACAATGCTTCCGTGCGATGTTCCAAATTAAACAATTCTTGCAATTTAATGTTTTACATAAAATTTTCGTCAACAAATATAAAGAAATTGTTTCCCCACCAGATGCTTATACTCACGGCAAGTTTAACCTTTAAGCATAACCAGAGATGCGCAACACCCCCTTAAAGAGAGACGGCATCAGCACTGATAAATTTAGCAGTCCGACATAGCGAACATAAACTGCTCAGTGGAGGATAATAGGAAAGACGTCACTACGTTTTGGCTATTAAGCTGCGTAGTGGGAGAAATGAAAGTTGCCATTATGTTTGGACTACTATATTTCGTTAATTTTGGGAATAATTTCCTCACGAAATCACGTGATTTGTGATGAAACGTGAACTCTCAAATCTATGAAAAACATTTTTCTTCAACTCGAAACCTCAATGTAGTGCATTGTGGGAGATTGCTAACTAGAATGACGAAACTAGAATGAAGACCAGACAATAGAAAATAAAGTGACGAAGTAAACCGACTGACCTACATGGTGGTCAAAGACCTCTTACCAGGAAGATCCCGGATTCGAATCCCGCAACGGGCATGAATGTAATTCATCTCTCTGTTCGATTTATCGTTTTTGTGTTGCTTAGCAGACATGTATCAACCTATATGGTATCCACGACTAAATTTCAATTTGAGAGCCGCGGTGGCTCAGGGGATAGAGTGTTTGCCGTCTAATGAGGAGAACCGGGTTCGAATCCTAGCGATAACTGGTTGATACGAGTTGCACACCCAGCACGCACCGACCAGGGTGCTGATGTGAAATATCCTCTATGGTAGCCGGATCATGGGTGAGAGTTCCATTGATCCGGCTTACCGTGTTCTTTTTTGTGTGGTTTTCCTCTCTTAACGCAACGCAAATGTGTGTTAGTTCCTTCAAAAAGAACAAATTTCTCCCAATACTTGATCCAGGAGTTATCTTATCTTCTGGATTGGGTTCAAATTTACAAGTTCAATGACGGCTGTTCAATGACGGTTATAAAATTAAAATAAAATAAATTTAATAAGCTTTGCTGATAAGGAGACAATATTTGGTGCAATTAAAATGAATTCCAAGACTATAAACAATCAAAATATAATTATTTATTTGTGCACACCAACTGAAGAAAATAACACATTCTCTGGAGCATTAAAAGAGTTTTTTATTCTTCCAATTGGGCTGAAAGATTGGCTTTTCTAAGTTGTTGCCTGGAAGCATTCCACAGAACTTCTTCCATATTTTTATCTGAAGAAATGCCATTTTTATGTCAGCATGTTAAGAGCTGCACCTAAAGTCCATTTTGTCTCAATTCCTTGTACACTTTTAATGAACTATAGAAAGAAATTGAGAGATAACATTCTTAATGAGAAATAACATTCTTAAAAAAAGTTATTCATTATGTTTAAGAGAAGTTGATGAATAAATTGAAGAATTTGGTTAAGACAGAAAAAGATGTAGTTAAACTAAATAAATATAGTTGTGTTACTAAGGAGTAACTATATCTATAATCTACTATAGGCTCTAGTGCTTTTAAGAACTATTTATTATGAAGTACAAAATTTGAGCTAGAGTTTAAATCCAAAGTTTAAGAAGCTACAAAAAGGGTGTTAGCTCTGATACTGACTGTGACCTACGAAAGGGAGACAAATGCGTAAAATATTGATACATGGTAAAAAATTTCCAGGAATTGAGAATTCATTATCTTTTGTAGTAGTTGGACATAGTAACATAAACATATGTTCGCTAAGTTTAATGTAGTAACATCTCTGGAAAAGTTTATAGAATCTCAGTTTCCAAGATATTACATTAATAATACTACAGTTCCTACTTTCAGTGCGTCTTTAGAAGGATTTGAGATCCCTAGGAAAGTTTTATAGCACATTCGTAGAAATGAACAAAAACATAACTTCTAAGAAAAAATATGG